GGGGGGTACCCCCCACAACACCCCCCCCCCGGAGGGGAGGGGGTGGGGGGGGGAATTCTAGGAGTTGAAGTCCACACATCTTAGAGTTGCCAAGGTTGAGAAACACTGATGTAGAGTCACCAGCTAGCCTGCAGTCTTGGTTGTGAGCTTCCAATGACCTGGCTACTCTGGAACCAGAATGTTGGACTAAATTGATCAGTATTTCCTGCCCCCCTCACCACCACACACACCTTTGCAAGATTCTTGTTATATGATAGTAACCATGCTGTGTGAAGGAGGAAACAGCCATTATGCAGCCATAAAAACATGAAAAAAAATTACCTGCATTCTTTCTAGAGGGTTAGAATGACAGTTTGCTTTATTAATGAGGTATGTGTGCTCCATATATTCTGTTATTCGTTGGAGGAAGCTCAGAGGTTCATTGAAGGCAATGGGCATGGTAATTTTTGACAGCTCCTAAATAGTAAGAGGGGGAAAATACAAGAATGTGACTCCAAAAGCAAATGTTATACAATTATCAATTAATAGATATCAGCTCTTGGTATCAGCCGTATAGCTTGCTGCAACTTAAACAAACAGAACATAATGCAAAGGAATTTTATTTCAGCTATCACAACACATTATGCTGCCAATTTTTTTTAACTAAGACGTCTTTGCACAGTTAGCTATACTGCTGATTGGTTGTTTTCACTTCTTAATCTATCCATTCTGCTCAACATGTGCACCTATCCACTTTACACATACTGTATTTCAAACATATAAAACCTTATAAGCCTACACACACACACACACACACACACACACACACACAAAGAAGTTTGGTGTTTTGGAAAAAAGTAGGAGGACAGAGTGAGAGACAGACAGACATGCACGCCTTGTGCTCTTGAAAGAAAGGTGGGATATGAAAATATCTTTCTCCCTATGCATATACAAGATTTATTATCCTTCCTTTCTATATATCAATTAAAAAACCAGCAGCCAGCCTAAAAGCTAAAGGCCAGCCTGAATAAAATCTTTTTTTCTCCTGCTCAAAGGACAACAGAGAGAAATTCTCAGTAGGAAATGGCAAAGTTTGGGAGAAGCCACTCAGAAGACCCTTTTTGCACATTCTCTCCAAATACACCTCCAGGCTGGTGAAACAAAAAGCTTCTTACACTGAGATATACAGAAAAGACTGTGGTCTTACAAATATAGAGACTACTTATAGACCTAGCTGTCAAATCATTAATATCATAAGAGTGTAATGAAATACAGACAACAATAATAAAACTTGTAACGCAGAATATCATCCTTATGGATGCACTGCAGGCCTTCCAAGGTAGCAAAGTCAGCCATGTTTCGTCTGGCCATTCCAGGAGTCCTCAGTGTCGTATTCCTGAACACCAGTGCTCCTGCAGTGCCTCTCTTGGTACTTCCAAAATTATGTGACTTTCTTTAAAAAGGCTTTTGAAAATAAATAAGAAGCTGGCATCCTATTGTCTTTATTTCTAATAATATTTCTAAGGCACAAGGAGTCCTGTGAGTTTTCTTAGAAAATAAGAGTGGTGAGCGCCTGCAACCTAGTGACATTTTTGAAAGTATTATTTATTTATTTATTTATGTTGCACATTTCTACGGCTTCCAGGCTCTGTAACAACATCTTGTACAATAGAATAGAAAAGACAATACACAACTGGTATGGCCATCCATCCAGAAAAATATCCAAGGTAAGGAGGTTTAGTAGGGAGTGTCCTGGAGGGTGACTTAGAGGGATAGGAAGAAAAAGTATGGTGTCTTGTGGCTGCTCATTTCTCCCACACGTGGCAGATACTTTGTGAAAGAGTCCACTGAAGTTGGGTGGCCAATATGTTTAAATAAATAAAATAAAATAAATCTTCCAAAAACAGTCTCTGGCCTAACACACTGAAAACCGGTCACTGCTTTGTATAGAAAACATAATGTATAACAGAATGTTATACAAAAGATGCATAAAACTGTTCAAGGAAATCAATCAACACTAGATCTTCAGAACATTTCTTTCTCCCCAGTTTATATGGAATTCATTACTACAGGTAGCTGTGATGGCTACTAGGTACTTCTGAAATTATTAATGTCAATGATTGCTTTATTGTTCCATTGATTGTTTTATGGCACCATCACCTGATGACAGCCATTTCATCAAGCTGCAGGAGGGAGGGAAGACAAGACAACCATCGATGTTGCTGAGAGGCCAGCTTCATCCTCTGCCAACTATCATCTAGCAACAGCATCCAGTACATCTGCTGCTAATAGATCATCAGTCAGCCACCAGGAGACAAGGGAATCTTATTTTTCTTCTGCATGTATTCACCAGTGTTTACAATACTCCAATATGTACAATGTCCATCCATTTGATTGATCACACTACATTTATCAAACACACCAGGCAAACCATACTAGCATACCACAGTAGCTTACCAATCCAATGCATTTTTTTAAGATACTCCAGACACTGAAATCACTCCTAGTAAACATCGGGGCAGGTAATGATGTTCTGCAGGAAGAATAAATCAATATATTCATACAAGTTACCCATACCTTTCCATAAAGGTATTATTCTGCAATAGTCACTACTAAGCTGATTTCTGGATTTCTTCACTGATGCAGGTGAACCACTTTAAAATGACAGGTACAAATATAAAACCACCTTCTGCAATATTTTCAAAAACTTTTCCAAGATTCCTCCAGCACTTTGTGCTTGCATTTGATCTTTGCAGTGTTATGAATGTATATGAGCATTATCCTGCCTAGATGAATGTTGAAATACACAGATCGAAATAAGCAGAATCATGGACCTCATCAACCTCTGCCTCACTACCTATTTTCAGTTTGATGGACAAATATACCAACAAAGCAGAGGCACACCCGTGGGATCACCACTGTCAGGACTCATAGCAGAGATTGTAATCCAACGCCTAGAAATTATAGCACTTCCACACATACAACCTAAAGTATGGATCCGGTATGTAGATGACACCTTTGT